AATCAATCAATCAATCAATCAAATTGTATTTATAAAGTGCTTTTCATACAAAAATGCAACCCAAAGTGCTTTACACTTTAGTTAAAGACAATCCAATATGCCCAGCCCTAAACCCCACTTCCCCACAGATCCCCCCCAAAAACCACATTTATTATTATATACACACCCACATGCGTGTACACACACAAATAGACGCACACGCACACACACGCACACGCACACACACACACACACACACACACACGCACACGCACACGCACACGCACACAAACACGCGCACGCGCGCACGCGCACGCGCACACGCACACGCACACGCACGCGCACGCACACGCACACGCACACGCACACGCACACATATATAAAGTCACATCAGGTACAATAGGTAAAACAATAAAAAAAAATGGGCCTGGGTGCAGATGTAACCGGCTGAAGAAGCACCATCCAAGGAGCCATCTGCACCAGGAGCAGAGAGCCGGCTGCAGCCACAGGGAACGACACAGGACCCAGAGGAGAGAGGAGGCCCCAGACCCCACCAGGTCCAGGAGTCAGACCCTCATAGGACCCAGACCCTCATAGGACCCAGAGGAGAGAGGAGGCCCCAAACCCCCACTAGATCCAAGAGCCAGACCCTCGCAGCCACAGCAGACCCCAGCTCCCGGTGCAGAGGGCTCCTCCAGAGGAAACACTGGGGATACTAAAACAGTACAATAGAAAGTTAAACATAGAAAGAAAACTCTAAAAAGAAAATGGCAGCTGCCTAATATTAATAATAACAATAGAAAATGGGTAGATAATATAAATTAAATAAAAACCCTAAACTCTAAAAACATAATTAAATGTACTAAAACGGAATAATAAATAATAAATACTAATCAAAAGCTAATCTAAAAAGGTGCGCCTTGAGCCTGATTTTAAAAATATGAATGTTCTCTGCGACCCTGGCCCTGAGTTTCAACCAACCTACACTTCATCCAAATACCTTAAATGTCTCAAGGAACGCTGACCCAGAAGCCTGTGTTCAGGGTTTATGAAATGGAGGATCTGAAATGGGCAATAACATCTAGGAACAGAAAAGAAAAGAACCTCCAGGCTTCTTTTAGATAAGATAACACATTCCTTTATTGTCTCCCATAGGAGAAATGTATCTTGGGAGGAGATTCACATGCTTTACACCACTTATATTTGCACACACCACAGTAGGCAATAAACATGAAACAGACCCAAATAGACACGGAGACCTCCAGGACCATAGAAAAACAGTAGATAACAGGAACAAAACAGAGAGCACCCCACAATCTACTACTATCTACTTATCTTGCCCTATACAGGTATGTATTACTTTGCACTATATATAGATACATATACAGTACATATATATGGATATAATAATATTGAAGCAATATTGTACGTTACTTACAATGCATTCTGTCGCACACATCGCCCTCAAAAGAAACGCCCATGGAATCTCTGCAGATCTACAAAAATGAGCGAGACGACCTGTTGTTCCGGCTGACTGCATCACTCACAATGTGACGTATCAACTCGAACTGTAGCCAAAGTCAGGGCACGTGCTGCTGGACTTCTTTGCTTACGGTTCCTATCTTCTACCTGCTCCACAGAAGGTCAACCATGAGCAATAAGGAAGGAGGTATTTTTTCAGTTGCAGCCATGGTCTCCATCATGGAACAGATTAGTGGGGACATTTCAAACATTGCGCAAAAAAAAATGCTTAAAACATGGTGGTCACACACACACCACACTATCAATATCCATGATGTATTAACAACAAATGTTTCCTTTGTAGACCTGGACATTGAAAGACAGAACATTTCAAAACAGATATTTAAGCTGGCCAGATCCATGTGCCAGAACAGAATGCTGAGAAAGTATGGCCTTGATCCCAGCACATATCATTACAGATTCAATTATCACTGATAATATTTATAATGCATAGAACCACAAATCAGAAAACCGATAAGAGAAAAACAGAGAGACCTTAAGACTGTCTCTCTCTCACCCAATCCCACTTGAGTAAAATAAATTAACTTATTCAGAATCAAGCTCTTACCATTTCACACTGGTATCTTTGCTCTTCTTTGGCTTTCAAAGTTAAAATCATCCACGCACTCCCACTGCACTGGTGTCAAACATCTTGGTTGATTGATGTAAAGCATTAGAATACAGACTTGTTCAGGCTCTTTGCAAACTCACCCATTCTAACAAAAACAGAGACGTCAGTGACATAGAAATTGCTTTGAGAGTATAAACGCTCTAATTTACCATTCACTGTTACACATTCCCGCAGCCCACAAAGGCAGCTGCCCAGGTGAGGAAATGGAGCTCTCCTTTTTCCTCTGCTGCACATGGACCAACACTCACCACATGAAAGTCTGTCTTAAGTTATGGATCGACCGATGTATCGCTTTGCCGTGAAATTATTATTATTTCTCATTGGATGTTACAGCCCACACTCATCTTGACCCTTTAATGATTCGCTCAACTATTTTGTGGATCACTCTTTGAGTCACTCTATCTACTTGAAGCTAACGGAAATCTACCTCAATGGAGCATCTCTATTACTTGGTATTTTTACCATCAAACTGCATCTCAACCATTTGGGAAAAGCTTTTAATAATAATCAAAACAACTATGGGTTAAGAAAATACACTCACACACACACAAAACAATTTGTATTTTTAGTGCTCATACGTCTTAGAAATTCAAAAAAAGAAAATAATTACATTGCTTTCTTCAAGGAGTGAACATTAAAGGGTTAAACACAAGATCACAATGAGAAGGATTATTCATGTTTTATATATATATATGTTCTATGCTGTTTCATAGATGGATTTTACTTACAATATATACTGTAAATTCTGGACTATACGCTGCTACTTTCTCCAGTTCTTTGAGCCCTGAGTTTATGGACTTAATCAGTAATTCATAATAAGAGTAAGCTAATAGTCCAGAAAGTATGGAAACTAGTAATTAGATACAGACTCCTTACAAAGTGACATTTGTCTTTGTTTGTCATAATGTTGATGATTACTGTCCATTTTTAAAATACATATTTTTTCTTATTCCGGGTTTTTACAGTTGTGGCTAATTATCAACATTTTAACAAATAAAGTCTTGATATAGCTCTCTTTAGTTGTAAGTTTCACTGTCAGTGTATGGGGCTGATCTAACATCAACGAGTTTTTTTCATGAAATGTGAGGAAATAAAAATCGGCATTGGTATCGGTCGTTCCCTAACCAATATCACGCATGCATCCTATAAGATTCCTTTTGTACAATTATCTCTGTTCCTGTATGTATTTGCATCTGCGCTGGAAAAAAAGGGTTGAAGAATAATTTTTAAATATTGTTTTGAGTATTTTGACTGTCTTAATTACATTTTGCCAAGCCGGTGCCTTCTGACATCAAATTTGGCCTCAGTTAGCAAACGAGGCACAGACTGACGCCGCTCCTGATTGGCTCTTTGGTTGCTGACGTGCGGCCTCCATTGTCATTTAGCTCCAGATCATAGACTGCATATATCTGGACAATGCTAACCCATTCACTCCATTATGGCCATTAGGGAAGTGCTCATAGACAAAGTTGTGCTCCTACTCACTCGGGCTCTGGATTGCCTTAGCAAACATGTTAGCAACACATCTGCCCCTGATATGGCGCAAAGCTAACGCAGTCGGAAAACAAAGGCACATTTATAGAAACTGGCTCCAGCTAGCTTATGTTCAAATCAGCCCAGAGGTGGCTTCTTGGGTGTAAGAGAACATAAATGGCATGCATTATGAATTATGAGACTACTAGAACTCCCGGAGCCGTCGTTTTGACTGCTCCCATTCAAACCAATGAAATTGGAATTTCATTGGAATTGGAATTTTGAGAAATTCCCCCGAAGAACGTTTAGTTTTTCACCAGATTCATTAAAATAAAGTAATTTATAAGGTGTTATACCTTTACTCACTTTTAATTTGTGCTAAAAAAGGATGCCGATAACTCTGACAGTAAATGTTGTGTTGCTATGGAAACTAGTACATCCCTGGTGGAAAATGAGTTAAATGAAGAACTCCTCGCGTTTCAAAAGTAAAAGATAATTTAAATTACAAATTTTTTTTATAGAAGTAAACTACATAGAGAAACTTGAAATGTCACAAAGTTATGAAGACCAAGAACGCACATAATATGAGTAATTACACGAAACACGGGAGTTCAAGTGTTAAAAACAGCTAACAGCACTTCCCAACAGGAAGTGGACAAAGTTTTGCTCTAACACGCTCTGGCACTTTTTTACTTGCATTCAAAAAGTGACCACCAGCTAGCTTATGTTCAAATCGACTTCAGTATTGCATCACCAGTTATAACAGTAGGAATGAGGAGCACACAGCAAAAGACAATAGCTTTATGCTGAAACAAAATAAAATCTCTAACACTAGCATAATAAAGAAGCAAGAATTAATCATAAAATCTGACTTTTGCATAATAAAGAAGCACAATGGCAATGCTAGCACTCGTTCAGTCCACTCCTAATATATGGTCTATGTTTTGAAAGTGAAACTATGGTACCGTGCTATGGCATATAACTAGTTTTTACGACAGTCAAACAACTCAAATCAGGATTCATCTTGACTAATGCAAGCAAATACGAACTTGTATGCTTTTGAAACTGACCTTGTTCACTCATTCATGTTTGTTTCCTATATCTTTCAGCGGTAAAACCATTTTTTCCCCACCAATTCACCAAATTCCTACCCTTTATATTAAATGTATGGTTTCATATATCACCAGTAAACATCCAAATAGTGTTGTATAATGTTAGAGTTTAATGATAAGAGTAGTAGTTGTGGTTGTATGGTAGTAAAAAAGTGCATGTCTCCACAAAAATGACTGCTTTTGAAGGAACGTGGTATTGAATGTTTGCTTCATTAGCATAAAGCAGATGTGAGGTCGTTCTCTGGTCGTGGCTCTTCCCCTAAGGGTCTCTGTCGTCTCTGCAGGACTTTCTGGGACAGATGTTCTGCACTCTGGGGGAAATCGTGGGATCTCCGGCCAGCCGTCTGGAGAAACCTCTCGGGTAAGGACGAATCTATCATCTACAACAGGGGTGTCAAACTCACTTTGGTCGGGGGCCGAGCAACTAAAAAAGAGGAGATGGTCAGAGCCAAAAGAATACATTAGAATTGATTTATACATATAAAAGGTATAACAAGCGTTTGTCATGAAATGTGTTTATTATTTGGATTGAACCAAAACTGGATCAAATATAAAGTTAAACATATTATAATTGTATATACTTCTGATGACAAGATAAGATATACTTTATTGATCTCACACAGGAGAAATTTACAATGTGTTGGGTTCAAATTTAAGAATCAATTAAATGCGGCCATTTATCTGAGAAAATAGGTGATGTATAACATGCCGTGGTCGCCGTCACCGTCAAAGCTGATCTATAAAGATTATGTTAAGGGCCACAAACAATTGTTTTGCCGGCCGGATTTGGCCCACAAGCCTGAGTTTGACATACCTGATCTACAACATATCTTTACAATACACATATATGCAATGATTTGGCAATCTAAATAAGATAAGATAAACTTGATTGATCTCATAGTGGAGGGATCAATGTAATGGCAAGATTTAAATGGATGAAACAAAGCTGGCTATGTTTATGTTGGTCCATGGCTTTTCATCGTTTTGTGTGATAATTTTGACGGCTGGAGCTTTGATATTTGCATAAACTGCTTATAGGCCAAAAGTTTGTGAACATATATTTCATTGGGGCTGAAAGACACTGGCACCCATGTAGTTAGCTAAAGCAGTTACTGTATGTGCTGTGGTTTGCTGTGTTGTAAATAATTGATGTCCAAAATATAATTTAATTGATGAGGTTTTGACCATTACAGCCTGAATCAGATCATTCATTACCTGTTTTTTTTTTTTAAACCAAATTATATCCACTGGCCACAATATCTTACAAAAAAATACTACAGCCTTTTTATGGTTTTTGAAATGATACAGAACTATATCATATTAAATGGACAGTATCTCTGTGGTCTAACAAAATCAATATAATTGAAAATGGCAAGGTAAGATTTTTTGTATAGCAGAGTTCATACACAAGGCAACTTAAAGTGAGGGTGAATATACAATCCTTCAGTTGTATGCACAGCTACAGTAAAACAGCAGTTTTTAACTTGGATTTGATCGGTGTCACAGGTGAAACCCGTCTCATTTTCAGGAAGATTGTTCGAGAGTATAACTGGATAAATCTTAAACACTGCCTCTTCATATTTAGTTTTGACTCCTCAGAGTCGCACTTTTGTTGATTTACTAAGCACTGATTACTGATGCACTTCACCTGCTGGGTTTAGCCAGAAACAGCACAAACTTATGTCGTGCTCCATCCTTCTGAACCGAAAGGCAAAGCTCTCAATTTACCGGTCAATCTTCGTTCCCTCCCTCACCTATGGTCATGAGCTTTGGGTAATGACCGAAAGAACAAGATCGCGGATACAAGCGGTCGAAATGAGCTTCCTCCGCAGAGTGGCTGGGCGCTCCCTTAGAGATAGGGTGAGGAGCTCAGTCACACAGGAGGAGCTCGGAGTAGAGCCGCTGCTTCTCCACATCAAGAGGACAGTTGAGGTGGCTGCACGCCTCCCTGGGGTGGTGTTCCGGCCACGTCACCACCGGGAGGAGGCCCCGGGGAAGACCCAGGACACGCTGCAGGGACTATGTCTCTCAGCTGGCCTGGGAACGCCTTGGGGTCGCCCCTGACGAACTGGAGGAAGTGTGTGTGGATAGGGAAGTCTTGGCGTCTCTGACCCGGCAACGGATGAAGCGGAAGAAAATGGATGGATGAATGGATGGTGCAATTTTTTTCCAAACAAAAGCTTAATTTATCATTACAAACTGGCAAACTAAATAAGAACCGCATACTGTTCTCTGATTGGATAAGCTGGTCAAAAATCATTCAGATCAAATCATGAAAAAATGAAATGAAATGAAACCTTTATTTGAAGAAGGCTTTTCTTACACAAGGTAAAACAAAATGCTTCACTGCCCGTAACACATAAGGCTTAAATCATCACATTAATTATAAACATTAAAAGCACACGGGGCATTAAAAACAAACACTAAAATAACACATGGGATATAGATAATTAATTAATCACAGTACATTAAGAAGAATAAAGATCCCTCGGTTGTACGCACAGGCAACAGAACTGTCTTCAACCTGCATTTAGCTGCATAAATCTGAAACGCTGCCTCCCCATGTTTAGTCCTGACTCTGGGCACCAGCAGGAGGCCAGTCCCTGTGCTCATCAGAGTCCCAGCAGGAGGCCAGTCCCTGTGCTCCTCAGAGTCCCAGCAGGAGGCCAGTCCCTGTGCTCCTCAGAGTCCCAGCAGGAGTCCAGTCCCTGTGCTCCTCAGAGTCCCAGCAGGAGGCCAGTCCCTGTGCTCCTCAGAGTCCCAGCAGGAGGCCAGTCCCTGTGCTCCCTCAGAGTCCCAGCAGGAGGCCAGTCCCTGTGCTCCTCAGAGTCCCAGCAGGAGGCCAGTCCCTGTGCTCCTCAGAGTCCCAGCAGGAGTCCAGTCCCTGTGCTCCTCAGAGTCCAAGTTGGTTCATATGGCACTAACATGTCACAGATTTACTTTGGTGCGATGCCATGAAGAGACAACACAGCAAGAGCTTCTTTACAGACTATTCTCTGATCCAGGGTTGTATGTACATGATGGTGAGATTACTACATTCTGGTCTCTTATTATATTAGGTATTTGGGTTTGGGTTTTGGAGACTTTAGTAAGTGAGTAAGTCATGTTTATTCATATAGCACATTTACAGACCAAAGCTGTTCAGAAATCAGATATGTTTCCCTTCACACACAGGGATGACGGACGGGAGACGCATCAAAGCCTCCAACCAACACCATCCATTACATTCATACCTATTGTACCTGTTTTTAGTGGTAGGGGAAACCGAAGCACCTTGAGGAAACCTAGGTAGGCACGGGGAGAACATGTAAACTCCACTTAGAAAGGTCCTGTGCTAATCAGGATTCAAACCCAGGACCTCCTTGCTGAGGAGTGAGAGTGCTATCCACTCAGCCACAGCCACCTTTTCTATCCATCTATCCATCTTTGTCTCTATCTATTTGTCCATCCACTCTTCTGTTGGCAGCTTAATGAGGAATCACATGTGAAATATCAATCTTGAATCACCCACAGGCAAATTATTTATTGCTTCAGCTTCAACCTGATTAAAAAGACAGATTGCGTTGAACAAAACACGAGAGAAAGCGTGGAGCCAGATGACAGAAAAGATACATCAGTCAAGCGGCCAACGGAATATTGCTTTTGATCCAGGTTTCAAAAACTGCACAGATCATTTGTGATTGGCATTGTTGGACACAGTGGAAACTTAAACCAAGAGATGGCATTCAATTATGTGTATTTATTTGCCACACTTGCATGCCAAAGCTAGGTCCCGTCAGATCTCTGAAGCTAAGCACGGCAGGGCCTGGTTAGTACAGTAATGGGAGACTTCGGGGAACAGAAAGTGCCATAGTGGGGCGACTGCGGCTGTAAAATGCCAAACTGTTGTTGTGTCCGTAGGCAAGTCACTTCACCCACGTTGCCTTAAATGAGTCTGGTGTGTGTGTGAATGGTTGCTGGTGGTGGGAGGGGCCGATGGCACATACTGGTTGCCTCGCTTCGGTGAGTGTGCCCCAGGGCAGCTGTGGCTATCATGGTAGTTTATCAGCACTGTGTATGGGGTAAAAGGACAATGACATGTGAAGCGCTTTATATATTAGCGCATTATTATGATATGGGTTATACTGGGGAAATTTCAGTGTTGCGTCACAAGTTACAGAACAGTAGGGGCTTACAACACAAGATAAGATGGGATAAGAAGTGAATAACAACTCTATACCAAAAATGTGAATAAGAAAATCAAAAGGAGATGCACATTATCTCTGCTAACGTTGCAGCGAATTTGCGTTTGTTTCCCTGGATTCAGGTTTAGTTTTTAATGACTATTGCTCTGAAAACAAGGATTAGATGGCGATGATCTCTTCAAAAGAATCTCCACAAAGAATACGAAATCACAGAGCCTTCGTTCAGTGAATGTATTTTCCTTTGTGCTACAGTCCACGGGGGCCTCCACTTCACACGCTGACTCGGCTTCATGTTTAGAGCTGCTTTTCGGCTTTTTATGTTGAAAAAAACAACGCGGCTGCAGCAAACCGGTGTTCAGTCCTACTAATGATTTAAACTGGGAAGCTGCATGTGAAGTCAAAACACAAAATCAGCAGTTTTGTTTTCATTAATGTGATTCAACAGGTTAGACACCTGGTTTGAGCCTCACTTTTATAGTTTGTATTGGATTTGAACTTGTTGTTAGGTTTGTAGATCATGGACGCAACTTCAGTCCTGGATCCACATCCTCAGTTTTGGATCCACATCCCTCTCTCAACATGGCCTCCCTGCGGCTTCTCACTTTTATTAAAACTGCACTAACTGACTTTGAGAAATTTTCGAATGTGAGCGCTGGGCTCGCTCTTTTTGCTCGCCCTCCCCGCACCCCAGCTGCGGCGCCATGGATAGGCCTGGGTAGGTCGGTGCCTACCACCTTTTTTCTTGACCCACTCAAATTTGTTCTTCGCCTCATAAGCGTTTTTTATTTATAAGTCATAATTTAAGTATTGTTATTATTATACACAAATTATCGCCTAAATATTGCGTTCTAATGTTTTTAGAAAATGTAACCCCCTGAGCGTCATCACGTTCCTACGTTGCTTCGAAATATAGTTCCGTTTATTGGCTGATGTCCAATAAGCTGCATGATCATGTCAAACAGTGCAAAACCGTGTGCGCGAAGCTATTCCTCGTCTTAAAGATTGACAATGCTCTCAAAACATTTACAACAGAATATCCTTTTTAATTTTAGTTTTAAGAAAGTTCAGCGTGAACTTAGTGAGGTAGAAGAGCCAGAGGCCCGGCCCCGTAGGTCACAGAAGAGGAGAGCGCAGTCACGCCATGCAGGCTTGCCACGCACTAATGCGGTAAACTCCAGGTG